AAAAAAAAAAAAAAAAAAAAAAAAGAAATTAACCTGAAACATGTACTCTTTCTTTCAGCAAGCTTTTCAGAAATAACTAGTAAGTTAAGCGAGAAAAGGTGCTGGGCACACAACTAATTTATCTTTGAATGTTACTGATTAAGGAATGCATTTAAATTCCAGTCGTACACTTGTCAGTTGTGCATTATACTGATCCCATCCTTATGTGCACAAAGTCGGGTTTTATTTAGGGTTTCCTCTAGAGAATAAGGAATGCATTTCCTCTGTAGTCTGAACAAAGTTTGTTCAGAATAGAAGAAGCAAGAGACTGAGAAAATAGAGATATTCAATCAGAAATTTCATTGAAATTCTGCCTTTTCCACCGCTATCTGATAAGCAGATTCTATGTCTGTTTCCTAATCTGTAGAATAGAGATAATAAATTAATTCCTAATACATAAGGTAGTGGTGAGAATCAAATGAATTAATACTTGTAAAACATTTAGAACAGAGCCTGGGACACTTAAATAATGACTAAATATTAGCTGTTATTCTTACCGCCAGTTAACATACATTTGCTAGAATGTGTCTTGCACTCTCTACCCTTTCCCTCTCTTTAGGCTTTTACCTATCAGAATATAAATTAAGTTCATCTTTTTACAAAATTCTTTTGGTTACACTTACCCTGTCTTTTCACTTTCATCATGGCTCAGTAGGGAGTATTATAAAATTTTAAATGTCACCTTAATTCTTGGAGAAAAAAATATTATTTATATATGGTGGTCTGCCATGAGTACTACATAATAATATGCCAAATGAGTGCACAGATGATAAATGATAAGAGGATTCATATTTGTCATTACATTAATAACTCATGTTTATAATTACATTGTTAATAGGATTCGTGTTTATCATTACATCGCTATTAACAAATAGCTAAAGTGTCAGAAGAATTAACTTTTCCTCTTATTGCCTGAGAAGGTATAAAAAATGTATGGTTGGATTTTATTTATTTTTGGATCTTATTTTTGTAATGGCATTAAAGCTCAGAAGTAAAGTTAATCAATAAAAATGTGTCATTTCTTCTCTTAAGTATCTTTTGTCATATTTTATAAATTAGCGGGACCCCCCTGAAGAGGAAATACCATTTTGTACTCTAAAGTCTTTTCCAGCCACTATCGAACATACTATACAATGGGCAAGAGATAAGGTAAAAGTTTCTTTTCAAGGAATTTATTTTCTTTGAAGTAGGAAAGAAAATATTTCCAATTTTAAATAAACTTCTATTTGTGACTTTTTTCCCTCTTCTCTCTTATAGTTTGAAAGCTCATTTTCCCACAAGCCTTCATTATTTAACAAATTTTGGCAAACCTATCCATCTGCAGAAGAAGTCTTGCAGGTATAAATCAATATATTTTAATACAAACTTTTAATACTTTGTGTTAATGTAATCTTGTTTTCAAGTTTCCTACAAGTGATTTATTTTACTATAAAGAGAAATTATAACGTTATTATTGTATGTAAAATGAAATGTATCAAGAATCTTGAAATTATGTCACAAGTGACCCTTTTTTTAGTTTGGTTGAACTGTATGAAACGGTCAATATTTGACCATGTTTAACCAACAAGACAGCAATTCAGATTATTCAACCTATAAAGATGTGATGATAATGATAGGAGGGCTACAGATAATAAAAGGGCTTACTAAGCCATTTGGAAGTTGAGATAAATTCTAATGAAAATTTTATGAGGGGACAGTAATCTTTCAGACTTCTACTCTTATAATGAGAACAACTTCAAAGATATTTTCTTACTTTAATCTTGTACTAAATAGGCCAATTTTTTAGTATCAAATGTTACTCATAGCACTTCTTATAGTAAGTATATATATATAGTACTGATAACTTATAGATAGGAAAATATGAGGATAACGTCTGAGAAACCAGAGTTAAAATTTTATGTGCTATCTCCTCCCATTCCTCTTCTCCAAAAAAAGAAAGAAAAGAAAGAAGGAAAAGAGAAAGGAAGGGATAG